ATATGTTCTCCCTTGTCTATACCTCTTAATTTCTCTTTTCCACTGTTATTGCTTTCTCTGTAATTGTATTATATAAGTTTGTTAAGCATTTTATAATAGGAAAATGTAGTTCAAAATAAAGTTGTATTATAATAAAATCATGTTGTTATAAAGCAAGTTGTTTCCCAAGGAATATGAAAGTCTCAAGATACAAGTTAAAATGGCTGTTGTTTTGTATTCTTTGGTTGTACTAGTACTATGTAAAAGTTCAGTGTGTCCCAGAAAATTTCTTACCTGACAATTGTTGTTCATAAATGACTGGATTAAGCCATAAATAAAATGAAGACCATTCTATTTCTAATTCTGACTTTTTGTTAAGTGGAAATAATATGTGTTTTGAGAGACCTAAAAATTAAAAGAGCTTTTTGAATGAACTAGAAAAGACAATGTCTCCCCAAAGGTACAGTTTATATTCACCATTTTGGAAAATTGAGTGTTCCAGACTAATATTTATGTATTTGCCCCAGATGGGAAAAAATCATTTTGTCTTTGAATCCCTTTCTCCTCGTAAAATAGAATTATTGTATCTTTTGCACTTGGTTCATTGCCCATTGGGATATTCATTGGTTATCACAAATTGCCTTTATGCCTTGGCAAAAGTCCAGGCAGTACATGGACAATTTGGACTTCTGCATTGGTTGTTGCTACCCTCATGAATCCTGAGACAATGGCTGCATTCCCCTTTTCACTTCATTTCCCAGAGAAAAGTAGAGAGAGATATCCTTTCTTCTCCATATGGTCTTCTTTACCCCTAAACTACTTTTATGTGTCATCTTAGTAGATTGAAAAGGAGTTTAGAATCAATGAAGGGTGTTAGCTATGGGTTTATACATTTCTCTTTTTTATTTCTATGTCTTGTTTATTTTCAAAAACCTGTTTTAACTTCTGTGGCATTAACTGATCAGTGCTGATTGAAAAAGAATAAATATATTTACTTTTTAAGTACCATACACTTTTTTCTTCTTTCAAAATTTTTGTCTTTTTCATCTCTGTTTGATAAAAGTTAACTATTTCACCAAAATTAACTTTATTTCACAGAAATTAAAAGATTACTTTTATCCAGAGTTGGAAAAAATTGTCCATTTTACATTTCTATACTGAAGAAGCTTGAACACATATATTGACAGTTTATAACTCATTTTTACATATGTTGCTGCAATGCAAATTTTATTTAACTTTAACACTGCTTAAAAATAATATTGCCCATATGACAATCTTGGTGATTTTGACATTATCCTATAATCTGCAATGGTAAAAACTAGCCAAGAGGCAATTATAAAGTTTATGGCTTGGTATATCAACCAAAATTTGACTTCCACAATTTGTCTCAATTTTCTTTTTGCCAAGAATGTTTCTAAGGGTTCACATGAATGATGATGTCTTATTTTACATGAAGTTTCCTTTGGTTTTATGAAACTATTTTTCTTTCTGATAAACAGCTTTTAAAAGAAAGTAGGAGCTTATGGAATGAGAAATGATATCAAAGATCATACAGTCAGCACCTCCATCTACATTCACCAAAATGTCATGCGACACAAGACTGTATTTTAGTAAATGCTTGACTACCCTTCTCCAAAAAACAGTCTTGTTCACAGGAGTTTGCACTCCTGCCTTGGGCAAGTCTACTGACTGACCCTCATCTCAGTTCATTTTTATAGCGGTCTGTAATTTTTTACTGTCACGCATCTCCAGTATGGGTTTGGTCTGTTCTGTGTGGAAGCATCTTTACAAAGAGGCTTCACATCAGTGCTTACCACATCCTAAAGTTTTTCCAGTTTATGACTACTTTTTCCTTTTTTGACTTGGATTGGGGTGGAATTCTAAACTGTGAAGGTAGCTGATGCAAGGCAAGCACCTAATAGGGTTCTGATTCGCCCTGGTGACTCTTGCCCTATCAACATCAGTTGATGTCATGCCTGCTTGTGCTTCCTGACCAGGCACCCAAGTTTTCACAGTCCTGATTTCATGATTTCATGAATCTTTGAGTTTTGGCTTCAAGAAAGTCCTTTCAAATGTGACCATTGTCTTGAGGTGATTTCCCTGAAGAGGTGGTAAAAAGTCCTCTTGAACCATTATGGCCAGTAACCAGTCTCATGAGTCAGGTTAGCTTAAGGTCCTGTCCTCTGCATTTGACTTTCCTTTTTGTTTCTCAATGCTGTAGGTTCTCCACTTATTTAAAGCTCAGTCCTTTATTTACTGTTTCACTGGTTCTATTTCATCAAGTATTTTACTCTTGACCTTAGCCAAAAGGCCGAGAACCGATTCATCAAGTATTTTAGTGTTTGGACCCAGATGAGATTGAGAGACAGAAAGATCCTGTTGTATAATTTTTTTTAAAATTCTATAAAATCTTTCCTTTGTTTACTCATCACTTTTCTATCAATATGCCAAATATTTTGTGCCTAGATATGTACTGAACGCTTGAAGAAATAAAGACCTTAGGCTGGGTTCCCTTCTTCAAGAAACCTACTTCTAAAATAGATGCTGATGGAGATAAGTATAATACAAATGTAATGAGAGTAGGCTTACTAATAAGGAATAAGATGGTTGGCAAAGAAATAATAGAACAATTGAGACTTAAAATATGGAGGGTGATTAGAATTTGATTGGGTTTTCTGGAAGAGATCTATCCAGCTGAGAACAACCTTAAAACACCAAACCAAGGAATTTAAATTCTGTCTTGTATAGCAGAAAAAGACATTGGAGGGTTTGAGTGGGAGAGCCATTTAATGCAAGTAATGTTTTATAATCTTGGTACTAAAGTTTTGGAAGGCTAGTACATTCCTCTACTAAAGAAAAATTGGTATATTCTCCTTTTACCTAGAAGAAGTTAAACTCAGGACTTTGCAGGTAGCAAAATAACTGTATGGACAGCAAGTTGCCTATTCTGTGAGGACAGGGGCTGGACTTGTGCTATCTGCAGGGAGCTGGCTAGGAGCAAGAGTAGCCTCTGGGAGAGCTCAGATCTCTTGGGGACTTTTTATTACTACACTAGATCTCTCCCCCTCAAAAAAATTCTTTTGAGACAAAGCCTTGCAGTGTAGCCTAGGCTGACCTTAAACTTCTTGTTCAAGAACCAGGCTAGTCTTGAATTTGTAATCCTCCTTTCTCTGTTTCCCAAATGTTTAGATTATAGACATGGTCACCATGCCTGGCATCTAGACCAAATTTTGTTGTTGTTGGTGGTGGTATTGGGGTTTACCAAAGGCCTGAAAACTGAGCCCCTCCTCTACACTTTTTTGGAAACAGTTTTACTGAGTCACTAAATTGCCCAGGCTGCTTGAATTTATAATCTTCCTCAGTCTCCCAGAGTGCTGAGATTATAGGCGTGTGCCACCATGCCCAGTTTAGGTCAAATTCATAAAAACACTTTTAGCCCCAGTAAAATAGGTGTGTAAGTGTATTTGAGGGAAAACTGCTTGCAACCTTTGTATTAATAGGGTCCATTATTGTATTTTTATTTTATTGTAAAATTTTTTTAAATAGTAATTCAGAGTTGCCCACAAAATTAAAAATGTAGCATATTTGATTTGAAAGTTCTATGTCTAGTAGCTACTTATTTGTTTTTGGTATATTTGATTTCCTGATTTGGAAATAAAAATTTTCCAAAACTCTTGTTTTACAGGTAAAAGAATGTCAAATTTCAGCATCTGTACCTGAAAACAGCGCACAAATTTCAGGCCACATGGATGAGTGCCAACTCCTGCATTTCCCTTGCGTATCCTCTGACCATTCTATCTGGGGTGAGTGATTTCTAAGTGTAGCTGGCAACAAACCAGGTGCCAGCCAGCAAGGGGCTGCCCTAACAAATAATGCTAGAGTTATAAATTAAACACTGTCTGGTGATCTGTGGTGTGTAAGGCAGTTAATTTAGTTGGTCTGAATTAACTGTCTGCTCCCCAAAACTATATTCCTACAATGTGAAATCCGTACTTAGCATATTTTGAAGAGAATAATAAAAAAAAATTAGGAAATCATTTGTTAAACTTAAATGATGACAATCCCTAAGATTGTTTTGGATTTAAATAAGTATTTTCAATAATTTTACTTTTAAAAGTTCAAGAATTTGTTATTTCATGAATGGTAGTTATAATTTTATATAAAGTAAGGCTTTTGGGATCATACATCTTCCATTGCCTTACAATATCAGTTTTGCGTTCCTTTTAGTATAAAATTTTATACATTTACAATGTTTAAGTTTCTTACAGATGCATTAGATAAATTATTTATACCTGAGATTTACATTTACAATTTAAAACTTATCTTTTCAGTTTCATTCTGGGAAATTACACTGGGGGTAAAGCCATTTGTTACCTTACCCATGCATTTTTCTTATTTAAATTTTTTACTTTACCAAGCCTTTCATTTTTTAGAACATCCTTCAGAGTTCATGCGTCTTACTGAGGACACCTGACCTTTTGAAGCTTCATAATTCACATCTAGATGTCACCAGTCTTTCCCATGTTAACAGTTCTGACTATGTTTTATTATATGTGCCTTCGACGCCGAGCCAGGACAGCTGCAAGAGGAGAAATGATGAACAGCCACAGAACTATAATATCAAACAATCGGATTTCCCCTCTCAATGCAGAGGTGGTCCAATATGCCAAAGAAGTAGTGGATTTCAGTTCGCATTACGGAAGTGAGAATAGTATGTCCTATACCATGTGGAATTTGGCAGGCATGCCAAATGTATTCCCGAGTTCTGGTGACTTTACTCAGACAGCTGTGTTTCGAACTTATGGAACATGGTGGGATCAGTGTCCTAGTGCTTCCTTGCCATTCAGGAGGACACCACCTAATTTTCAGAGCCAGGACTATGTGGAACTTACTTTTGAGCAACAGGTATATCCTACAGCTGTTCATATTCTGGAAACCTATCATCCTGGAGCAGTCATCAGAATTGTGGCATGTTCTGCAAATCCCTATTCCCCAAATCCCCCGGCTAAAGTAAGGTAAGACTCATTTTTTAATGACTTAAGCTTTATTGCTGAAAGGTTTTGTTGTTTTAATATTGGAGGTCTTTTTCTTTGGAAGGATTCCCTTAAATAATTTAAACAAATCATTTTGAAAATGTTCCTCAATAAATTGATGAGAGATCCGATGCCTGAAGTTTTAATGCATGCTTTCTCCTCTAACATTTCACATTGTACTAATCATAGGTCATAATACTTACTTGTCCTAGAATTTTCCATAAATGAAAAGCACAATTTGAACTGTTGTGAACACGGGCCAATCTGAAGATTAGTAGGTAATATGACTTCTAAAATATTTTCAAAACTATTGTTTTAAAATACTCTCAGCAACTCAAAATAGGCCTTTACAGTGATACTTTAGAGAAGGTCTTTAGGGAATTAACCTTAATTTTAGGTAGATGTTTTTGTAACAAGCATATTCATTTAAAAATAAACACTCCTTTAAATAATTAGTGCATTCTCCTTACAAGCCTATTTATATCATTAATTTGCTTAGCAGTTCCTTTATTGTTTTTGTAGTGCAACCTTTTGATTTTTTAAAAATGCAACTATTTGAGTAGGTGATATAATAATATAGTCCAGTAATCTAAAAGAGTATGTAATTCAGTCTTGCATATATCCTGCTCTCTGTGTTCACCCAACTTTTCCTCTAAAGAAAACACTTTTATCACCATTCTTTTTTTTCAGTTTCTGCAGATACAAGAATGACAAATATATTTTTATTTTCTTTATTCACAAAAATAAACATACTGTTCACATTGTTTTGTACCTTATATCACTCAATATATATATTGAACCTGTTCAGATAAGTGCAGTTTCCTCATTCTTCCCTACAACTGTAAGTAATCCAGAGTGTGCATGTACTCCAGTTTATTAACTTGTCCTCAGTTGATGAGCAATTACTTGTTTCCAGTCTTGCTGTTATAAACATTAAGGCAAGGAATGACCGTATCAGAAGTTGTTTCATCTGTGTACTGGTATATCTGTGGAATAAGCTTCCTATAGGAGTTGCTTGGCCAAGGATGTACACATTTGGAACTTTGATATGTAGTGCCAAATTTCCCCCTGAAGTGTCTATTGTCTATTTATATTTCTACTTATACAAATATGCAGGTTTGACAAAGCCACCCACAGAGTATGTTAATAAATTTCATTATTCTTGCAGTTTAATAGGTGAAAATTTTTATTTCATGTTAAGTTTATTAAAATTCTTTTACACTTTTATCTCTGAGGTTGAATTACCTTTTCAAATGTTTAAGAGACATTTGTATTTCTTTTTTCTTTGAACTACTTGATTATATTATTTGCCCATTTGTTGATCATGTCAGTGTTTAGATCCTTATATTACTGTTAATTCTCTCATTAAATATTTTAGTGTCGCCCATGTGCTAGGCATTGTTCTAGGTATTGAGGATATACAGTGAACAGTGTATAAAATGAACAAAAATCCCAGCCCTTACAAGTTTATTCTAGCCTAAGAGTAATTCGTGGGGATCTGTTAAACTTTCAGACTTCAGATTAGCTATTGTGGAAGGAATGGAGCAAGGATCAGCCACCACCCCTGTGACACGCTGCCTCCTTAATGTCTCTTTAATTTAAAGGGACCTCCTCAGTCCACCACAAAACAAGTACAAAGTGTAGCTCAGTTTGAATTGCAGACTGCTAGAATAATCTTGTTCTTTTCAGAGCTATTTTGATTATTCATTGTGTACATTGTTATTAATGAGTCATTTAAAAAACACAGAAAACCAGCATCGTTTAATATACTGATATTTTTTTCTTGAGAGGGGGAAAAAAAAGTGTAGAAATTTGGGCATGATCTTGTCTTAGAATTGTTTTATTAGGACTGTCACTCTGCCTCTTTCCTATAGTGTTATCCACATTCTTTTCTAAAAAGCTGAATGGGTTTCAGGATGAGATCTATGAAATATGTAGTGTGTTTTCTCTAATCCGAAATTTAATGGCTGTATAACTGATTTTGAGTACAAATCATGTTCTTATGTTCATGAGAGTTGTAGTGTATGCTTTGATTAAAGTTCAAAATTTATTTACAGATGTGTCTCTGATTTTTTTTTATTGATATTTAGTTTTATCCCTTGGAAAAGACCATGAAATTTTAAGAAAAAAGGAATTTGATTATTTCAGTATAAGAAAAGGCATTTTAAAATTTTACTGATTATGAAATCAGAAGATGTTTCATTAAAAAAAGTTGAAAAATACAAAAAAACCAAAATTGTAATTCTTCTGCCCAGATTCAGTAACTTAAGATTTTGGCGGCTTTCTTTATGCAGTGAGAAACATTCATGGAACAACACCCTTTTTGCCAGTTCACTGCTGGGTACCAAACAGAGGGCCAGACAAAAGTGGCTGTTGTTCTTGGAGCTCACAGGTCAGCCTGAAAGAGCACTATGGGCTCACAGGGAACATATGTTGGCAGAGGAGAGAGCCTTAGCTGTAGGGCTCAGAAAAGACATCCTCGAGGAAGTGAATGCAGTGAGAATGAGAGTTGAGGGAGGCTGCAGTGTGGACCAGAAAGGTAGAGAAGGAAAGCACTTTTGAAGGTGAGATCATGATATTTGTAATTTAGTACATGATTTTATGTCTACCTTAGGAATGAGTAATCAAGTATGTTGGAATATTTCTTTGTTGAAAGTGGACTCTTGTAATCCCAAACATTCAAAATTTAAAAGCAGCCTTTGCCTGTTTGATTCAGTTTCGGTGAAGTAGAAAAATTACAGGTAGTTCTCTAAGATATGTCTTTGCTTACTTCTTGCCAGTGACTTAAGAGGAAAAGAAAACAAGTAGTTGTGTTGAGTGACCTGATCCTAAGTATAAGATCTTAGTGGATACGTGTGTAAGAGTCAGAAAATAGGCTATCTTAGAGTTACAATTTGGAAGGAAAAGATAGGAAAAATTGGAGGGAGAAAAATGACAAATTGAAGATATATTAAAGATTGGAATTACATTATGTGGGAATGAAATTAGTGGTGTAGATTTTTTTCTTTTGAATGTTAAAAGCACTTTATATAATGACGTTAAGGAAGCAGGAAGAAAGAAAGAGGCTGTCACAGAGAGAATTTGCTGCCAAAAATTGTTGCTTAAGCAACAAATTTATCATGGTCTGGTCACTTTGACAATGTGGGCCAAGAAACATGATTTTGTCATTTAAATTAGAATTGACCAGGCCTTTCACACAGAATGGTAGTGTGTTAGTTTCCAATTATAGATGGTCTGAGTTGTTGTCTTTGAATACAAATACAGTTGGAGTTGGAGGTGATGGACTTTATTCTTAATTTTCAGGAGAAAAATCTGCAAAAATAACAAATATAGGTAACTATAAAGACTTTAGAAACTATAAAGATTCCTACTATTGTAGTTCCCTGTTCTGTGATTATTCACTTCCTGGGTGATATGTTTACTAGAATTCCTATTGAGTATTCCACTTTTGGTATATATCCAAAGAAGTGAAAGCAGCATACTGAAGAGGTACCTGAATTCTCATATTTATGGTGGCACTATTCATAATAGCTAAGATACAGAATCATTAACAGATGAATGGATAAAAAAATGAGGTATATATATATATCTATATCTATATATATAGATATATATATATAATGAAGTATTATTCAGCAGTAAAAAAGAATTAAATCCTGTCATTTGCAGTAAACTAGATGGAACTGGGGAATACTTTGTTAAGTGAAGTAAGGCAGACACAGAAAGACAAGCACCATGTAATATTCTTTCTCACATGTGGAAGCCAAAAAATGTCAACCTGGAGGTAGTATAGTAACTACAAGAGATTGGGAAGGATGTAGGGGGAGAGTGGAAAAAGAAGGTTGGATTTCATCAGTGCTCTGCATATTTGGCATATGTGCTGCTGAAGCAAGCACTGCTCTGCATATGATGTTAATAAAAAAGTTTTTAAAAAATTTTAAATAAAAAGATTTCCCATTGAGCTTCTACCTTATGTCTTTATTCCTGAAAGCAGGAATTATCATATGTCCCTTCCCAGTTTTCCCAAGATTTTTGCCATATGTCCTTTGTGGCCCCTTCTTGACCTAAAGGCCACTAGGGTCTTTCTATGCCAGTGGTTTCCATGTTTTAGATTTCTCCTGTGAGTTTTATACTCTTGTCTAATTTGATTTCCATACTGTAGTTAATCAGTTTTTATTTAGATCTCAGTAGGTCACTGGGCCAAGAAAATAAACCAACAGGGTTTTTTTGAGGGGGTGTGGTAATAACCTTATTATTAGTAAACATTTTAAGTGTTATTAATAATCAGTGACTTATAAATTATGTCATAACAAGATATGCCTCACTATGAAATTACATATTATTTTTTAAAATAGATGCTTTCAGTGGTTATTTATATATTTTGTAAAGGTATTTATGTATTTTGTAGTATTATTGAGAAACTTAAAATATTCTTATTCTTTGACATAAAATTAAAAATTCTGACCTGAGGATATATCTCTGTGGTAGTATGCTTGTTTAACATGTGTAAATCCCTGGGTTCAATCCCCAGTATCACACAAAAAAATCTGCTAACCGAAGTAAATAGAAATAGAGGACAAATTTTTATTGAAATATTTCTGTATTTCTTTCTTTGCTATGTTAGAAAATAATATTAAAGAAGAAATTGATTATGACATAATGAAAATTTTAACTGATGGATGTACTATGTTATAAAGAATCTGCACATAATTTTGGAAAATAGCTTTATAAGAAGACTTACATGGACATGGGATATTAGTTAAGCCTTGAAGAATAGATGGGCAAATAATACTAGTAGGTTGGGCATTCACTGGGGGAAGACAATATGAACATAAGATACAAAGGTAGAAATAAACTTACTATATGGAAAGTAATGACTAATTTTTCTGTCTAGTAGTTCATTTGAAGGAATAAGGAAGAATGTTATTCATCTTTTATGTGTTAGATACTAGGTACTGGCAATACAAGGATGACAAAAGTAGAAATTCAGAAGAAGGGCATATATAAGAGACATTTTTTGAAACAATTGACAAAATTTAATGACTGCATTTTAAAAAGATAAAAAATATCAAAGATAATATGAAAGTTTTGAGTTTTTATCAGGCCAGTAAAAGGAATGAAAAGCTAGAGAAGGAAACCTTTATGAAGCAAGATGGTCAGCAGTTGGTTTAAGATGTAACACAGGACAGCTTCACCCCTTACTTAGGGTTTACTTGTTCTGTAAAACAGAATGCTTTTTTTAGGTACCTGTAACTGTCTATTCTAGTCTCTAAATGGACCAATATGAAATCTAAAAATCTTTTAAAAAGGACTTTGGGGGACTTAGGAAAAGTTGAATACATAATATCTCTGAAATTTAGTTTAAAATATTTTTCATATCCTAGAAACAATTCATATGTTGATTTTGTCAACTTATATTACACTTTTGTTTTCACATTGTATTTTGTTAAGGTATGGGTAGATCTCATTCTAAACTGTCTTATAGGGAAGTTTCTTTCTTTGGCAGATGGGAGATTCTTTGGTCAGAGAAACCTACGAAGGTGAATGCTTCCCAGGCTCGCCAATTTAAACCTTGTATTAAGCAGATAAACTTTCCCACAAATCTTATACGACTGGAAGTAAATAGTTCTCTTCTGGATTATTACACTGAATTAGATGCAGTTGTGCTACATGGTATGAAGGACAAGCCAGTACTTTCTCTCAAGACTTCACTTATTGACATGAATGATCTAGAAGATGATGATTATGAAGAAAAGGATGGTTGTGGAATGGACAATCTTAACAAAAAGTTTAGCAGTGCCACCCTTAGGGAAGGGCCAAATAATGGATATTTTGATAAACTGCCATGTGAGGTAAGCCAAAAATACTCAGTAGCAATATTGAATTATATTGAACTTAGAGATATTTAAATGTTTAGCTATTAGTGTTTATTTTAATAAATATCAGAGGAATAGAGATATTGTAAGGAGAATAATACTGATGTGTTGTATTTTTTTCAGTTATTCTGTTTTTTTATTAGTACATGTTTGCAGTACATAATGTTTCCATTCCTTGTATGGAATTGGTATATTAAACATCTTAATTCTTTTTTCATCCCATTTCCCTCCCCTCCTTCCCCAGCCCCTCTGTCTCTTGATCCCCTTCCCATTTGAGAAGGATCTATCTCCCTACTTCCTATTATCTGTCTTTTATTTTACTCCACTTATAATTTTAGCTTCTCATGTAAGAAAAATAATGCAATGTTTAAGCTTGTGTTGTATATTTTAATTTTGGAAAAACTAGACAAAATTATGTTAACTGCTGCATTTGTTTTAGACTGACTAGTGATTCTGGGTAAGTTATTAAATACATATTCTTGGGCTGGGGATTTAGCTCAGTGGCACAGAGCCTGTCTGGCAAGCGTGAGGTCCTGAGTTCAATCCCTGGTACCAAAAAACAAACAAACAAACAAAATACATATTCTTATATCACTAAGTAACATTAAGCAAATATATAAACCAATAATAAATTACACAGTGTAAGTATGGGCAGTGTATGGTGAACTTTATATTAGTTACATTGAAAATTATTTGCTATTAGAGATAAGAGTAATAAAACTGTGAAATGAATGCTTAGTTTATTTTATAACTACAGTTTCCTTAAGTGTCATTTGTTCTTCTCTAGTCTATATTATTCTAGCCATTATTTTTGGTCTAGGCAAATGCACAGTGCTTTTACCTATAAATACAGTACTTAGGTACCACAGTTCATGAACTTGATTCTTTCCACTATTCTGGTCATAAACTGAGTTGGATGAGAACTGAATCAAACTCAGTGCTTAAGTTCAGTGTTGACCTTATGGGTAAATTTGATTCAGTTCTTGTCCAGTTCAGTTTGCAACCAGAATTGTGGAGAGAATTGAGTTCGTGAACTGAGGTACCACTGTACTTTTTTGTGTGTTTAGTTTGAAATTTGTTTTCACTGCGTCTCCACAGGGTACTTCTGTAGTATATTTAGCCTGCCTTCCCAGCATCAAATTCCAGTACATTCCACGGCCATGTGACACCAGAATTCC